CTGGGCAGGGTGGGGGGGTGGGTCCCAGGCACCCAAGGGACCCCAACATCCCAGAGAGGGTGGGGGGGACCCAGGTGTCCAGGGCACCCAAGTATCTGAGGGACCCCAGTGTTTGGGGGGACCCAGGCGTGTGGGGGGGATGACACCCGGGTGTTTGGCCGGGGGACACACACACCCAGATGTGGGGGTGCGCAGGGGGGACGCATCTTCCTGGCCGACTACGCGCTGCTGGATGGGCTCCCCACGGGGTGCGTGGGGGGGGAACCCCAATTCCTGGCCGCCCCCCTCTGCCTGCTCTGGATCAGCCCCAGCCAGCAGCTCCTGCCCATCGCCATCCAGGTACCGTGTGTCCCCCCCCGTGTCCCTGTGTCCCCTCTGTGTCCCCCCATGTCCCCGTGCCCCCCTTGTCCCCATGGTGCCCTCTTGTCCCCATGACCTGCATCATGATGCCACCACCATGTCCCCATGGTGTCCCCTTGTCCCCATGTGTCCCTACGTGTCTCCATGTCCCCCCTTGTCCCCATGGTGTCTTCGTGTCCCCATGTGTCCCCTTGTCCCCCTGGTGTCCCCTTGTCCCCACATCCCCATGTCCCACATCATGATGCCACCATATCCCCATTTGTCCCCATGGCATCCCCTTCTCCCCATGGTGTCCTCTTGTCCCCACATCCCACATCATGATGACACCATGTCCCCATGTGTCCCCTTGTCCCTGTGGTGTCCCCTTGTCCCCACGTCCCCATGACCCACATCCCCATGCCACCATATCCCCATGTGTCCCCTTGTCCCCCTGTCCCCCCATGTCCCCATGGTGTCCCTTTGTCCCCATGGTGTTCTCTTGTCCCCATGACCCACATCATGATGCCACCATGTGCCCCTGTGGCGTCCCCTTGTCCCCATGGTGCCCTCTTGTCCCCTTGTCCCCCCACACCCCCATGTCCCCCGTCCCTGCTGATGCCCCCACCCATGTGTCGTCGTCCCCCAGCTGTCCCAGCACCCCGGCCCCGAGTCGCCCATCTTCCTGCCGGGGGACGGGCCGTGGGAGTGGGCGCTGGCCAAGCTGTGGGTGCGGGGCGCCCACTTCACCCTGCACGAGGCTGTCACCCACCTGCTGCACACTCACTTCTTGGGGGAGACCTTCGCTCTGGCCACCCACCGCCTGCCTGCCTGCCGCGCCATCCACCAGGTACCCCC